TAAAGTTAGGTGTACATGGAATATTACTCAGCATTCAAAAAAAGATACACAAATGCAATTTACAGTAACATGGAGCTGGAAGGGATCTTGCTCAGGGAAACAAGCCAGAAAGAAAAAGAAAAATACCGGATGGTCTCACTCATGGCAGGAATCTAGAAAACCTAAATAAGGGACCAGGAAAAAGAGTAACTATAAGAAAGAAAAAAATCAAAATCAACAAACAACTATGAACCAGAGACAAATTATGGGGGGGGGGGCGGTTTGCAATTGTATGGGGAATATAAAAATAAAATTAAAAAAAAATAAAATTTGATGCAATTAAGCTTAGAGAAAGTTCATAGAAAGTGGAAAAAAATAAAATTAGGTGTAAGTCAACTGTCAGGTATCACTAATAGAAGTAAAATGAAGGCCAAGAGTGGGCCACTATACTAAACAGCCAAGTCACTTGTCATCTTGATGACGACAGCTCTCAAAGGTATGGGAAGAAAAATTTAATTGTAGTTAAGTACAATTAAGACAGCATTTGGATTAAAAACAATCCATGGGCTCTTCCTCCTTTTCCATATTCAGTTTAGCATAGGGAATGTCTGTGGCTCCAGGGCCTTTAGGAATACCTGAAAAGTTGTTTAAAATGGAAGTTCTTCAGTTCTCACCCTAGAATTACTGTGTTAGAAATTCTAGGGGCAGGGTCCCACAATCCATCTTAACAAGTCTTCCAGGAGGTTTGAAAACTATCAAATTTAGGCCACATAAGGGTTCCTCGTATTAGACATCTGTAAAATGACAAGGCCACCACCCTTCTTCAAATACTTAGTAACTAAGAGCAATGGATAAAATCCAGACATCAGTTTAGAAAAGTTCCATTATTATCCCATTGGAACATGATTTATCAGTTACTATATTATTTCAAAAAGAGTCAGAAATGAAACATCACAAATTTGACTTTTTATTTGTCATCAAAGTCTGATTTTTAAACAGATTCCTGAACTGGTGGTTCATAGCCATCAGCTCGTTCAACTTTAGCACCTGTCTCGTCACCAGTAGCCTTTCCAGAACTACTGCCTTCACCATGAAGCTCCATGAGTTTTCCCACTAAAAGGAAGAAAAAAATTTGTTATACATTAACCGTATCTCAAAATGATGGCAGTCAATAATACATAAGCATTTTTTAAAAAAGAAATTATTTGGCCTCAAAAAAAACCCCAAAATGTCAAATAATGTATTTGACCACATTTCCTCCCAGGAATCCTATTTTGAAACTTACATTCAAACTTTGGCTTCTTCAGCATTTTTACTTTTCTAACAAAGACATCATGGAGTGGGTAGATAGACTGGCAAGCCTTTTCTATGTCTTTCCCAATGCTGTCTGGAATCCTGCAAACCAGCAACAATAGATTAGAATAAGCCCACACATACAATACACTTGAACATACAAAACACTCGCACAAGGTTATCTATCGTCCTTCACAGGTAAAGACTAAATGATGTAATTGCACAGCTAGTTAGTAGCCAAGTTAGCACTTGGGTCTTATGCCTTTCTAACACTAGTAACTGTATGGGAACATCAGAAAAATGTTAAGTATTATCACTGGACCTCATCTGGGACCGAAACATTTTGTCATCACTTATTCCCATACACGGAAGCAAAAACATTTCCTGTATTTCAACTTTGCCATGAAATAACTTCATTCTCCCCTGCCAGCCCCAAAGGATAAAGAAACCTAAGCATTTAACATGCATTCATTTTGAGGGGAGTAGATAGTTTCATAGACAGGATTTTAACAAAGGTCTGGCTCTCTTCTCATGCTTTCCCCTTATCTGAGGGATAAGAGTTGTGTTGAATGTGGGAAACAAACACTTACAATTTATTGACCACCTCTTTCAAGTCATTTGTCTGCACCTCTCGGGTCATGATTTCCATCATCTTTTTCCGGATCTGGCGGACCTGCTGGTGCTGAGCATAAGAGGTCTTCCGAATCTGATTGTTTCGTTTTTTAGTAAAACCAACACAGAAGAGACGAAGCAAATAGCCGTCCGTAGTCTTGACATCAACATGAGCTTCAATCATGGTCTAGTTTAAAGAAAGAAAGAAAAAAAAAACTGTCAGATAATACAGTTTTAATGTTTATTTATTTACTCCAGTTCTACTTTTTAAAAAAAGCTGGAAATATGACACCACAGAAACTTAATGTTGCATGTCTGATTTACAAAATCAGGTTCTTTGAAGTAAACTCACCAACAATCACTCCAAATTCTTACTATTCTTGATATCCATTGAACTGTCTTCTCTCTAGGTAACTTCTCTATCCACACTACATTATCTCAACAGCACCTACCACCATACCTTTTAAAAATAAATACCAACCTCTAACAGTTTGTCCCTACTCCAAACTCATAAATACCAGAGGAACATGATAAGTTCTGAGACACCACAATGTAGACATCTACATTTATTCAATCTTTTGTTAAAAAATGTACTGATTAGGTAAAATACTGTTGTACTAACACTAAAGTATTTTTAGGTGTCATTTGTTTCAAACAAAAGCCATGCTATGGATTAAATATTCATCTTTATAGCTAAAAGAAAATGAAAAAATAAGTTATTAGTGCCAAAAATTTAAAAAAAAGCTCTCTCTTAGTGACAAAAACTTAATTGCTTCCTTTGCATTTTATAAATATACCTCAGTTTAACAATTATAGCAAAAGGACCTTAAAAGTATTTTCAGAAATGCAACTGTAAAACCTGAGGGAACGTCAGAAATAAATGTAACGGTATAATCAGTAAGTATCATCTGGGACCGAAACATTTTGTCATCATTCATTCCCATACACAAATCCCAAATCTGGATGTTTAGACACATCTGAACCAGTTTAACTATTTGTTAGAATACTGTTAGCTAAATGCGGTCTCTCAAACTCTGTGCTAAGTATATATTTACATACATCTTTACTTCAGCCTCTTAACTGAGATAGTCTTACCTATAGTTCCACAAGAAACCAAGACTTGGCAAGCTTTAAAGTACGTGCCAAAGAGCACACAACTGGGAAATAGGGAAGGATTCAACAAGAACCACCCAAGCCACCCTTTCACTATAAAGTTGTCCAGAGATCCGAAACATTCTAAAAGACAAGTAGAACTGCGAACCAGCACCCAGAAGTTCCTCACACAGTCAACCCATGAAGCAAAACATAATAATAATAAACCCACACGTCAATTGCTCCATATTTTGTCATTACATCATGACACCTTTGTAAAACCACCTACCATATCCCTGCCTGGGCATACCTTAGCAACATTCACTTCAAGGAACTTTTGGTCTCACCTGCCATTTTTTGACCATGGAGCACATTTTATCTCGGGTAAGATCCATGCCATGAAAGTTAGTCAGGCAGTTCTTGCCCTGAACATCCTCAGTAATTAGCTTGAATTTTCTAAATGCAACTTCATCATTCTGCAGATCAGCAAGGCTCACTTCAAAAACTCGACCTTTGAGGCCATCAGAGGCGATTTCTATAAAATAATCAATTGTCTCATTAACATCAGCAACCACATAAGCAACAAGACACGCTTCCAAAAATAATGTTCACACATAAGGCTATGGGTAAATTATAAAAACGCTAATGTTTGTTAACCAAATCCGTCTGCACAGCGCTCATCAGAAACTCAGAACTAACCATACATGTTGTCTTAGTAACTTAAAAGCACTGTCTTGCTTCTACTAGTGCTGCACCAAAAACAAGCACCACAGGGCAAAGCTGCACGACATGTCCTTAGCATGTGCCCCCCCCCAACACGACCCAGATACATACATCTCCAGAAAAATAAAAGTGAAGAATAAGGTACTCACTGGTTCCTTGTGTTCTCGTGACTAACGTTTTTCCAATATTTCTTATATTGAACATTGCTGGTGCTTTCACATCGTACCAGTCTTTTTTAGAAAATGGATCAACCCTGGATTTTAAGAAAAGAAAGCACTTTTATAGCAGATCAGACACTTTTCCTTTCCTCCTTCTGTAGGACTGCTAACCTTAGTTTGTGTGAAGACTTTAAAAGGCTAACAGGCAGGCAGAACTGGAGTAAACGACTCCTGCCACATTAAGGAGAGGGGCCCAAATCCAGCTTCTTTCATGATGTCTGTTTCACAGGACAAACCACACTCTGAAAAAGTTATGCCCAAACACACTCCCAACCCCACTGCAACCTCCAGTACAGACACCACCGCCCAGCATGCACGTCTCTCGAACTTTAGTGATACAAGACGACACGTTCTGGCAGGCCGGGTTCCTCAAGGCCTCACGGGGCCCCATCAGGACCCCCCAGGTTTCCCCCAGGTTCCCCCCGGCCCAAAGGGAGAGGCGGCGCGGGGTCCCGGTGGACAAGTGACTTCCCAAGGGCAGCTCTTTTCGTGGCATCAATTCCCCGTGGGCTGAGGCCCGTGAGCCCGTAACCTGGAGCACGCGACCCCGGCTCGCGGCAGCACCCCGCGCGCACAGGGCCAGAGGAGCTGCAGCCGGCCTCCCCGCCACAGCACCCGGCCCCGCCAGGCCGCGGCTGACTTTACCAACCCGGCACGGCCCGCACAATCCGACGGGCATCCTTGCCATCCAGCCCACGCCGCGATCCAGAACCCGCCCGCTGACTCCAGCAGGAACCCAGAAAGCGGGGTGCCGCGACAGTCGCCACTTACACTTTCTTCTTGGCTCCCTTTTTGCCACCTTTCGTAAGGCGCTTGTTTTTGCCGACCGCCATGGTGCCGCTCGGAGAGCCAAAAGGGCGGAAGTGTAACTCGCGCGAGAACTTAGGCGCACGGGCCGGGGCGCGCCGCCGTTTGCGTGACCTTCGATCTTACGTTCTTCCTGCCTCAGAATATCGCGATAACTGAAAGAGGCAGTGGGTCTGGCTGCGACAGCGCCCTCTGGTGTTGGGAGACTGCGTCATCACCCGCTGACGCCCGGGCCTGGCTGTTTTCCGCGGCGGCGACGCCCGGAAGTAAGTTTCCGTAGACGGAGACGCCCGATGCAGGGCGCAGCTCGGCAGAGCCCCTGCAAACTTGTTTCTTTTCGAGAGCAAGGGATTTGGGGTCACAGTAGATACCGGGTTCAAATGCTAATTTCGGTCTACTTAGCCTAGTCACCCGGCCGTGCTTAAGGCCCCCGGTATGGGGCCGCCTCGGCGGCCCGGGCACTCCGGGTGCTAGAGAGGTTCTGCCTGCTGGTAGGAGGCGGTTAGTCAGGTATGTTCGCTGTGTGGACATATGTCAAGCTGACACGGATTTGTGTGCTTGGCTGTATGTGAACTTTATTGATTAAAAGTGTGGGGTGCCCCCCCCCAAGTTCACGTCAGAGGGCTCATGCCGACATGGTGACAAAGTTTTCAGGGAGGCATTTCTCACACTGTGGCGTGAACACCCAGACGTCACTTGTTTTGGGGTTGTTTTTTTTTTTAATTTGTGCATACAGGAGCTGGGGGGTAGCCCATGGGGGTGGGGTGGGGTGAGAGGATTCACCAGAGACAGAGTGGGGAGCAGGACAGGCAGACGGACCGTAGTACACAGCTGAGGGGAGCAGTGGGGAGACAGGAGAGGTCTGCTCGCCATGTGGGTTGCTCCCTGGCCAGAGATCAAACTCGTGCTGCAGAGGCTGCCAATAGCTTCATAGTGCTGTGCTTAACCCCTTGCGCCAGCAGGGAAGCCCTCAAATAACTTTAGGGCCGCGAAAGGACCCAGTTTTTTTTAAATGATCTCAGCTCTTCTGATTCTTACCCTGAGGGGCAGTGGCCCCAGATATTTTCATTTTAAAATAATAATTGGATGTCTACATTTTAAATTGAAATCTCAAAATCTTCAAGTGTTTGCAACTAACCAAAAAATTTTTTTTATTTTTTTTAAAGATTCGTTTATTTATGCATACAAGAGCTGGGGTACAGGCCAGAGATGCGGGGGGGGGGGGGGGGGTTGGGGGGGAGAGGATTCACCAGAGACAGTGGGGAACAGAACAGGCAGACTGGCCGAAATACACTGCTGGGGGGAGCAGCAGGTGAGACAGGAGAGGTCTGCCTTGCCATGTGGGTATCTCCCTGCCCTGGATGGAGATTGGCTGCAGAGGCTGCAGATTGCTTCATAGTGTGGTGTTTAACCCCTTGCGCCACCAGGAAGGACCCCTCAAAAATATTTTTAATTGTAGGGGCTTAGCAAAATTCACCCTGGCTACCTGTGGCCCATTGCTTTAAGTGTGCAGTCCTGGAAATCTGGCCACACAATTTGGTGCTCAGATAGGTATATTGCGTTCCCTTCCTTCCCCACTGGAGACACACACACAAACACACACACACTCATTCCCTTCCTTCCCCACTGGACACACACACACACACAAAATCAGAAACCAAACCAGAAACCAAGTCCCAATCCCAACCCTGCCCCCCACCCCCAGCAAGTCTGTGGTTCTTATAGTCCCTTCTAGCCCTTCTTGCCTCCACCCCCTACTCCTTTTTCCCCCACTCTCTAAAATGCTCATCCTAAATCTCCAATTCAGTCCTGTAATCTTTCAATAATTCCTGTAATCTCAATTGCTGTTTATAAAATGAAGTAAAAATATTTGTTTCGCAACTATGTGAATATATTTAACACTACTGAAAACAGTTAAGATGGTAAATTTTGTGTTAGACATTTTTACCACATTAAAAAATAAATAAATTCTTAGGTGAGACTGTAAAACCACTTTCCTGAGCCTACTCATACCTTTTCATCTCCACCATATCTTAACCTACACCTGGTTGGTGCATCTGGAAGTATTTCATATTCCCTGGACTGAACAGGTAGTTTTCTCTAGTCTCCATTTCTTTTCCTGCATCAGCAGACAAATACATTTTTCAAGATAGCTCAACTTCATTTTTCCTTAGAGTAAGAGGTTGATTCCCCAAACTTTCCCTTAAACTTTCCCTCAGACCTACTCCCAAAGGACCAAGCACCATTTAACTTGCTAGTAGCTATTGATCAAACCTGTCCCTTCCTCACTCTGGGCAGGAAGGCACACAGTACAGTAATTGTCTTATTTGTGCCCCATTTCTGAGCACAAACAGCCTTCAAAATATTTGTTGGATGAGCAAATAAGAGGTACACTACACTGGTGATATTTGTGAGCTTTCTTACTTTTGCGAATCAGTTAAACATTTTCAAAATAATTTTGGGAACCAACATAACTAATTTTTCAATTTTACCAAACTTCAAAACAAAAACAACTACCTAGCATTGTCATTTCATTTTAAAATTACAATTTTGCCCCAACCTAAAAAAAAATCCTCTAAAAAAATCAGTCCTTAAATAAATAAATCAGCTTTATGAAAAACTATAGACTTTATTTTTCTTGTCTCATTGCAGATTGGTGAAAACTAGTAGCCAGTGAAAATCAATGAGTCTTTCCAAATATAATATTGATCTAATACACTGTTTATTCTATATTTATAGTAATTTGACTATTTCCTAAGTAGCAGTTCACTACCTTAAAATTTTCTCAAGGGCCTCCCCAGTGGCGCAGCGGTTGAGCGCTGGGTTGTGAAGCTGCCTGCAGCCTCTGCAGCGCCAGTTCAATCCCCGACTGAGCCCCGGCCACCAGGAAGAGGGTCCCACATGGCGCGTAGACCTCTCCTGCCGCCCGCTGCTCCCCTCAGCAGTGTACTTCGGTCCTTCTGCCTGCTCTGCTCCCCGCTCTGGCTCTGGTGAATTCTCTCACCCTCCCGCTCTTCTGACTGTACCCAGTGCATGTATAAAACAAACAAACAAACAAACAAACAAATTTAAATAAAACATGCCTCTATAAAAATTAAAAAAAAAAATTTCTCAATGGAAAATGTTATAGAGTACTAGGTACCGATTCCAGAATAAAAACTGAATTTGCCTTCTTCCTGCCCTCAGTGAAAGAGCCACAGGGGAGGCATTAATGAAGTCAGCTGCATCTAGTATATTCTAGCTACACCATCTCCTAAGGAATTTGTCAGAGAGGTATGTATTTATAAAACCATTTTGAAAAAAATTATATTTCCTTTATAGTAAGAATTTCAAAATTCCAACAGAATAAAATGGAACAGAAAAATGTGTGACTACCTCAAAGATAGTAAGGTGTCATTAATTTTCTTCTGTGACTTATCTATTAAATTCACCCAATGATGTTAAAATTTTGATCACTTGTGTTTTTTTATTTCTGAAAGTTCCTTTGAAAATTTCTTTTTCAATTTATGTCATTTTGTGTAATTTTTAATATACTCAGTAAGCGTAATCATAATAGTTCCACTATCTGGAGTCTCTGCCAGTCTGTTTCTGTGGTCTGTTTTTGTGCTGGTTTTCCCTCATGGATCTAGTTTCCTTGTGTGCCCACTTAGATTTGGGTACTGGTCACTGTATTTGAAAACTTATTTGTCGGAATAATTTGAGGCCTAAGTTGATGACACTATCTGCCAGAAAGGATATGCATACCTCCTGCCAGAGTCCTGTGTGCTTATCCAAGATGACTTTCCACTGAGCTTTTGACTTGAGGCTTCCTGAGCATCCTGTCCCAGGGGGTTCAATCCCAGCTGTAATTCTTTGACGGAACTTCCCCACTCTGGATTCAGCTCTCACCTTGAGGGTGTTGGTCTTTGAGGTCACAATTAAATGAGTGGATGATCCCCTGTTAGAGTCTGAGATTGGATCTATGTCCCTGTCACCCAGAGTGGCTATCCAAATTTCTGATTTTCTGGAACCAAAAAATACTCTTAGAGAAAATGTAAATTGGTGTTTGTTTATCTTGTTTAGTCCATGTTTTAAAATAGTTATAATTTTGGAGCATGGGGTATATATAGTAAGTCGTTATATTTAACTAGTGGGTTAGAAATGTCTCCCATCAGATTTGAGGGGAAATTTAAGAAAATTTTGGTTTGTTATCTTAAATTTTAAAATTGGGCTTTCTAGTTATCATTCTAGTAAAATAAATTTGAATTTTAGCTTGCTTTTCACTGATGACATCTAAAATACTTAACTGATAGACAGTATAACTGTTGCTCTCTCATCAGTACCCTTGGGTTTTCCACAATGATAGGTCATTTGAAAAGTAATTTGTCAGTATGATTCAAAAGCCATCCTGTTGCTACCTGGAAGCATATTATAAGGAAAAGACCCCAAATTGGGGGGCAAAAAACTACATATATCAAGATAGTATTCATCTTAATTATAAAATTATAAGACTAGGAAAAACCTAACTGCTGTAAAAGAAGGAAATGATCAATAAATTATGATATGTCCACTTGATGAACAGCCATTATGAATTATGTGTATAAACATTATTTAGACATAGGGAAAATGTTTATGATAAAGTGGTCAGTACTAAAACTGTATAAACAGGATAAGAACTGTATGGACATCTAGTAGCCATACCTTCATAGCAGGATTAGAGAAAAATGCACATTTCAGGTAGGAACTACTAGAAATTAATGTTATCACATTTCATTTGGGTTTTATGACCCCTGTGAGTCCTTTTACCAATCGGTTCCTTTTCCCCTACCTCTCAATGTCTGACTAGTCCAATCCTTCACCAAGTGCCTCCTGTCACCAACTGAGTCCTATCCCCTATCATTTTTAGAAATTGATCCTGTTGCCTTCTTTAGATAATGTGGGGACTTGCAAGTGACAGTCAGTAAGGACTCTGGATGTTTTTCTGTATGGACCGAGAAGCCATTGGAGGACTTTGAACAGTCACACTGGCACTTGTTTGGAGAATACAGAATAGCAGAGCAAGAGCAGAGTCAAGAAGTAAAAGACATGATGATAGCTTGGCTTGGGGAGGTAGAGGAGGAAGTGCAGAGGGTGGGGAGCAGTGGAAACGGAACCCCACACTTGGAGACTAAGATGCAAATGTGTCCTCTGTAGTTGAGAGATGCAGTTGCCCTGGGTGGAGGCTTGCACTGACAACTTGGTTGTACTTTGAAGATAGGAGCCAATAGAATTTGCTGATTAATTGCTCTGGGAAGGAAAGGAGGAATCAAATATAATTATGTTGTATTAGAATGACTTTTTTTTTTTTTTTAGTGCTTAGCTACACCATCCCCTTTTGAGGAGAAGACAAAGAATTATAAATATCTTTCTCTGTGTACTAGTCATACATGAGTGAATGACTCAATCAGCCAATAGACGAATCCTGATTAATATTTTACTTTATAGATTACCCATTTTCTTTGGGAATTTAGCTTTTCTCCTTGTTTCACTGTTTACAAAGTGAAAATAATGTATAATGAGTTCTCATTAGAGGTGTTCTAATGGGATTATTGAAATCTACTCTAGGTCAGTGCTTCCTAAAGTACAAGTCATCAGTATATTTACAAGTCAACAAGCTATGGAAAGTTGGGACTGACATAAGGAGCTTTTGACAGAATGAAATCAATTGTGTCACTAACCAGGATGTTTAGTGTAGCTGAACCCCGCCCCCCCCCATAGTAAAACTTTATCTGTTAAGGAAGTAGTACATTGATTTGCATTCTGGCATAAGCTCCTTATCTTGTTGCCAACTGGCACCTTTCTTGCAGCTACAACAAAGGATGAGCTGGCTTCCCTGAGTGCTGCAGAATATCTTGTTAGGCCTGCCAAACATATTATTTTTTTTAAATATTTATTTATTTATGCATGCAAGAGCTGGGGTACAGACCAGAGATGCAGGGGGTGAGAGGATCCACCAGAGACAGAGTGGGGAACAGAACAGGCAGACCGACTGAAGTACACTGCTGAGGGGAGCAGCGGGCAAGACAAGAGAGGTCTGCTGTGCCATGTGGATTTCTCTCTGGCCGGCCGGGGATCCAACTCCTGCTGCAGAGGCTGCAGATTGCTTCATACTGCGGTGCTTAACCCCTTGGGCCACCAGGGAGGCCCCTTGACAAACATATTAAAGGCCTGGCAAGATTCTTAAAAGTCCCAAGATGATCTTCAGAGTTGCATAGGGAAGATGAAGTCTTTGAAAATGAGAAAATTAAGTTTCTGAAAGGACTTTGAAAAAGTTTAAAGGCAGCATGACGTAATGGAAAGAACTTGTATTTTCAGTTCAAATATGGTTTCAAATCACTGCTCTGTCACTACTATGTGACCTTATATTGTCTTGGTTTTCTCACCAATAAGGGGGATTAATTCCTATCTACTGTAGTTAGTATAAGGTTTAAATGACTCAGCAGTCACCACAAGTGCAGTGTAGCGTGGAGATTAGCCTGTAGTAAGCACTCGGTAAATATTAACTTCTCTATTCCAAATAAATATCAGATATATTATCTCGCTTTCTCTCAGCTGCCCATGAACACACACATCAATATCATCCTTCTATCCTTAACTTTGTAAAACGGCTGCTGTTGCTCTTTTGGGAGTTGTTTCCTAAGCCTACCTGTCCGCTGGTTTCTCATTGGTGGCAGATACAACTAAGGGGCTTGTTCCAGGAAACAAAACAAGAGAAGAGATGGAAAAGTGAGATTAAATCTGTACACAGGGCCTCCCCTTGTGGTGCAGTGGTTGAGCGCTGGGCTGCGAGGCTGCCCACAGCCTCTGCAGCGCTGGTTCTTTCCCCAGCCACTGGTGAGGGTCCCACAAAAAATAAATAAATAAATCTGTACACACTGACACTGCTGTCATTACAAAAGTATGGTGATGTAGTCAGGCTAGATTCCTTATTACCATTGCCCTCACTGAGACCAACACCCATTCAGAGGACAAGCATCTTTTTTTTTAAAATCCCGACACCCATTGTTCTTGCTCTTCTTAGGTGGGAATTGAAACCATGTTCCCCGTGCTATAAATGGTAGAACTTCCTTCCAGTCAGCATTTCAAAAAGTGAAAATCTAGGGTTCAAGTCTAGTTTTGTCACTGTTTGGTATCATATAGATTTGGGCTCAGCCTCGCCTTACCACCTAGTATTTGAACATCATGAGTGTTTCATCTTTCTGAACTTCTTTCCTCACTCTGTTGGAAGCTCAACTCAAGGCTGCCAGTTTTCACAATTCCAGGGAGCACCACTCACATGACAGGACTGAGGCAACACTGGTTCCGAAACTTTAACATGACTTCAATAATAGTGACAAAGACAAGGTAGGAATTACTCCTTTATGTGGCAGTCCAAGTGTATACAGTCCAGGGCTGATGCCTAGGCTCCAGGACACTGGGGGGCTTAGATTCCCAAGGCTTCACCAGTCTTACTATCCCACCATTCAAAATGTGTTGCTTTCACCTGTGTGGTGCAAGAGGAACAGTCACCAGTTATTCCAGCAGGGAGCAGGAAAAGCAAAGAGGGCATGTTCCTTTCCTCGCAGAACAGTATCCACAAGTTCCACATATCCACTCTGCTCATATCACTTTGGAGTCAACTCCCAGCCTGAAAAATGTAGACTTTTGCTTTATAACCATGTGCCTCTCCAAAAGTTTTATTACTTTGCAAGAAGGGAAGAATGGGTAGTTAGTAATAATTTCTCTCTGCCTTGTAAAGTTTTTATGAAAATGAAATGCATAGCTGTTGCAACACCACACTGACAAAGAGGTGGGAGTTGTGGAGCAGGCTACACAATGCAGGATGCTGCTGAAGAGCAAGATCCTGGCCTTTTTATTGACTCACAGCATTGCTTGTAAGGGGGAGGAGCAAAAGGAAAGGGGAAGGAGAATAAAGAAAGGGAAGAATGTAGAAGATCAGGGATTGTGAGTCTGCCCTCCAGGCACTTCTTATCTGCTTAATGACTTGGTGTTGTCATTGAGATCAAGCCCTAATTCCCTCCCAACTCCCTGGTTTTAATCTTATCAACAAGGTGTTCCAATGATCAGCTTCTGGGGCCCCTTGTCATACATAGGTCCTCAGCCCTCATCCCCCACCCCGGGCGTTCCTGGTCATACCTTGTGATGCATATCCTTCCTAGCAAGATCCAGCTTTGTGCTCTTGTTTGATTTGCAAAGGCACCTTGCAGGGTTGGGGTCCTGTACATAACTGACCAGGCCATTTTGACCTTGCTTAGGATTTAGAACAAAATAGTGGCTGAACAGGCTGCTTAGGAGTAGCAGACCCACCTGTAGCAAAGTGACACAAAGTAGATGGTAAAAAAATGTTTATTTCCTTTCTAACTTTCTTACTCTCCTAACCCTTTTACTCAAAATGGAAACTTATTTCCAACATTAGCATTACATTAACAGCAGATCAGTAAGAATTATGTAAGAATGATATAGACTTTAAATTCATTTTTCTATTAAAATGTGTAGCACTAGGAGGGGGCCTCTATGGTGGCACAGAGGGCTATTGCCTTAAAGATTTATTTATTTATGCACACAAGAGCTGGGGTGCAGGGCCTCCCCTGGCGGCGCAGAGGTTGAGCGCTGGGCTGTGAGACTGCCCACGAGGGTCCCACAAAAAAAAAAAAAAAGAGGTGGGGTGCAGGCCAGAGGTGCAGGGTGGTAGGGGTGGTGAGAGGATTCACCAGAGACAGAGTGGGGAGCAGAATAGGTGGACCTACTGAAATACACTGCTGAGGGGAGCAGCAGGTAAGATAGGAGAGGTCTGCTGCGCCATGCAGATCATCTCCCACCTCCTGGGGATCGAATTCGTGCTGTAGTGGCTGCTGATAGCTTGACAGTGCTGCAACTTAACCCCCTGCGCCACCAGGGGAGGCCTGGTGATGAGTAAATATATGTGAGCAATTCAGGGGGCCCCAATATAGGGGTCCTAATGATAGTTAACTTGATCTGTCACTTAAGGAATAAATCAGTGTTAAAAAGAAAAAAGATTCCCTCCAAATTCTGGTATTGTTAAATAGGGGGCGTGAAGAGGTGCTATAGACTCTGCCCTCAAGAATCTTATGGGGGCCTCCCCGGTGGCGCAGCGGTTGAGCGCTGGGTTGCGAAGCTGCCCGCGGCCTCTGTGGCGCCGGTTCGATCCCTGGCTGCTCCCCGGCCGCCGGCGAGGGTCCCACATGGTGCGCAGACCTCTCCTGCCGCCCGCTGCTCCCCTCAGCAGTGTACTTCAGTCCTTCTGCCTGCTCTGCTCCCCACTCTGGCTCTGGTGAATTCTCTCACCCTCCCACACTTCTGACTGTACCCAGTGCATGTATAAACAAAACAAACAAACAAACCAGCAAAACAAATAAATAAAGCATGCCTCTATAAAAAAAAAAAAAAAAAAAAAAAAAAAAAAGAATCTTATGGCTTAGTGCTAAAGAGATTAAGTAATATAGGCCTATACACTGAAGCATTACCTAAACTATGTGGATTCTATTCAGTGACACCTTCAAGTGGTTCTAGTAAAGCAATGCATGTACTATCATAAAATCCATCGATAGTCAAGTCAAATTACAAAGCCTTCAAAAACACCATACTTGTTATTTGAGCTTTTGGTCAGAGTGAATTCAAGTACACACTTTCTACTGTCTTGTTCTGAAATCTGTATCACATGAGGTCTCCTCTTAAATAGCATGGAGGGCTTCCTCTTATTCATTATAACAAGAGTTCTATTTGTAAATCACATATTCACTCAATACTGTTTTCTAGCTGCATGGAGACTTTAGTCTTCTCAGTAGGTCTATTTTGAGACTTCTCAAAAAATTGTGATACTGTGTAATTTGCAATTAAATGACATGGCTTCAATCCCAGTGTTCCCACCAACTAGTTGTGTGATCCTAGGAAGTCACTTAATCCTCAAAGCTTCAGGTTCCTATAAAATGGAGATAGAAATTCCTACCCTAACCATCTCATAGGATTATTACCAGGTGATCAGTAAAAATAAAAAAAATATAAACAACAATGATTTTTTTTTAGCTGATATAATTTCAGGCCTTGAGCATAGACCAGTATCTAGATGGTATTTAAGTTGCCACTTTATTCTGAGCTCTTCGAAAGATGAACTCACACAGAATTATTCTTTTTTTTCTGCTACACTACCACACAACTTCATGTTTTCTATTCCTATTCCTGTTTTTGCCAATTACCTTCTCAGTGATTGCTAAAGTGAGAAGTAGCTTAAATTATTTAAACCCTTAGAAGCACACTGAAGTTACTGAGAGATCAAGTAGCTGCTTTTGTTATATTATTGCAATGGAGTGAAAATTAACATTGTGGAGCTCCTGACCCAGTGGTAGGATTATTTACATTGTTTCATTTAATCTCTTGTAGTCCTCACAAATGAACTGTAGGGCGGATTATTACATTAGGAAACAAGATTCAGTGGTTAGTGACTTGCTTCAAATTGCAAAACTGTGAGCCAGGAGCTGGGATGCATATCCAAATTTGATTATAAAAATTAAATTTTTTCTCCAAAAGATTCCCCAGTTGGTGTTGATTCTGGTGATCTGGGGTCCACGTTTTAAGAAACACTGGGCAAAATTCTGTTGTTTATCATCTAACATTTATAACGTGGTATTCAACATTGAATTGGAAACCTAATATATACTGATGAGAGAATAATTTAGAGCACTCCTTTTAAAACATATACACTCTTGGGCCTCCCCGGTGGTGCAGTGGTTGAGCGCTGGGTTGCGAAGCTGCCCGCAGCCTTTGCAGTGCCGGTTCGATCCCTGGCTGCTCCCTGGCCCACTGGAGGAGGGTCCCGCATGGCGCGCAGACCTCTCCTGCTGCCCGCTGCTCCCCTCAGCAGTGAACTTCGGTCCTTCTGCCTGCTCTGCTTCCCGCTCTGACTCTGGTGAATTCTCTCACCCTCCCGCGCTTCTGACTGTACCCAGTGCTTGTATAAATAAATAAATAAATAGATAAATCTTTTTTAAAAAATAAATAAATAAAATAATAAAACATATACACTCTTTTTTTGTAAAATAAAAACAAATAGGAAGAACAAAAAAACACATGAGACATACAGAAAACAAAGATGAAAATGGCAAGTATAAATCCAATCCAATAACATTACATGTAAATGGTTAATCAGTCACATCAAATAGCTGGCATTGTTAGATTGAATTTATTTTAAAAAAGACCCAACTGGGGCCTCCCCATTGGCGCAGTGGTTGAGCACTGGGCTGCGAAGCTGCCCGCAGCCTCTGCAGGGCTGGTTTGATCCCCAGTCGGGGGCAAGGGTCCCACATGGCGTGCAGACCTCTCCTGCCGCGCCCGCTGCTCCCCTCAGCAGTGTCCTCCGTCTGTCTGCCTGTTCTGCTCCCTGTTCTGGCTCTGGTGAATTCTCTCACCCTTCTGCGCTTCTGACTGTACCCAGTGCTTATCTAAATAAATAAACAAATCTTAAAAAAAAAAAAAAAAGATCCAACTGTATAATACCTACAAGAGAACATTTCATTTCAAATATATAAATAGGAAGTTTAAAAAATAGAAAAGAGTATATCATGGAAAGAGCAAAAGAGAACTAGAGTGACCATACAGACATACTTTGGAGATATTGTAGGTTCAGTTTCACACCACTGTAGTAAAGCAATAAATAAAGGAAGTCACTAAATTTTTTGGTTTCCCAGTGCATCTAAGTTTTCTTCCACTATACTGTACCCTATACTATAGTCTGTTTATGCAATAGCATTATGTAAAAAAGTGTACATATTTGTAAAATGCTTTTATTACTAAAAAAATGCTAACCATGCACCTTCAGTGAATTATGATCTTTTAGCAGGGGGAGGGCCTTGCCTTAAGTAGATAGCTGCTGACTGATCAGGGTAGTGCTTGCTGAAGTTTGGGGTGTCTGTGGCAATTTTCAAAAATAAACCAACAACGATGTTTGCCATATCATCTAACTCTTCCTTTCAGGAAAGAGTTCTCTGTAGCATGTGATGCTATTTGATAGTATTTTGTCTTTCAAAATTGGATCCAGTTCTCTAAAACCCTCCACCAAGCAGTTGGACTTTCACTGTGCTGAGAATCAGAGAGGAGCTGGAGTATTTTGTCTTTCAAAATTGGATTCAGTTCTCTAAAACCCTCCACCAAGGAGTTGGACTTTCACTGTGCTGAGAATCAGAGAGGAGCTGGGAACTGAAACAACAGAGACTAGCACCCCAGGAGGGGATGTGCAGGTGTTTGGCTGGGAGTCACTCTGTTACATTCTGGAGTGAGAATTCACTCCAGGGCCCTCCTGTAGGAAGGAACAGTTACCTCTGCACCTGGGAGGTAGACAGGCCTAGACACCAAAGCTGAAGAAGAATGAGCCTTCTCGTCACAGGAGAGTATCTAGGTTCACTTTACTCTTTCTTCATTTCCCTCGTATTATCCCTCAGCTTTGGTGGAATCTTATTTGTATGTATCAGCCTGGTTTTAACTAGGCCACAGTGAGTTAACAGCTTGCCCTCCTTTGACCAGAGACTAAACGTGGAAAGTAGGTCCCGTTGGGACCATCCCTTTGGTGGCGGCACTACTGGGGCTTCCAAAAGGAAGGTGAAACTCAGGACATTAAAGCTGGGGCTGAAGCAACTTTGACATCATTTTCCAAAGGATGGTCTCCTTCCCTCCACTGCCGGGAAAGGAGCAGCAGAGGATGATTTATTTTGAAGGGGCCATTAGAACAGTATTTTTCAAACAGCAGGTCAGGCCCACTAATAGGTCACAAAATAAATTTAGTGGCTGTCAATCACGACTGTTTTTAAAGGAAATGAAACAGCAATTATTTTGTTCTTTTTTTTTTTTTTTTTTATAGAGACATGCTTTTTTTTTTTTTTTTAATTTATATTTATTTGGTTGTTTGTTTTGTTTATACATGCACTGGGTACAGTCAGAAGCGCGGGAGGGTGAGAGAATTCACCAGAGCCAGAGCGGGGAGCAGAGCAGGCAGAAGGACCGAAGTACACTGCTGAGGGGAGCAGCGGGCGGCAGGAGAGGTCTGCGCACCATGTGGGACCCTCCTCCGGTGGCCGGGGAGCAGCCGGGGATCAAACCGGCGCCGCAGAGGCCGCGGGCAGCTTTGCAACCCAGCGCTCAACCGCTGCGCCACCGGGGAGGCCCAACAGCAATTATTTTGTAGTTAGAAAGTTTATTATTTCATGAGCTTTTGTTTCGATTTAGAGAAACATGAGTCACTGTGTAGAATGTATCTCTTACTATGGGTTATGATCAGTAATGTTTGAAAACCATTGCTATGAGCACATATCTAGTGAAATCAGCTAGAGTTATCAAAATGGGGTCCTTGCAATTTCACTGCATTTTTTTGTTCACTTTGAACATTCAGATGTTTCTCTGCCGATGGGCAGTGACTCTTTACCTGAAAGATTGCCAGTTGTGGTGTCAGAGGCAGTGAACTACTAGTAACTCATCATCCTTTAATTGCTTGTCTTTTGTGGTCTTTCTTGGGATGCTAGATAAGTTCAAGTGTCATTTGCATAATTTAATTACCTGTCTTTCTGGAATCAAGACAAGTTACAATGTCCCCTCTACACCCCCTTCTCTCTTGAGTTCAATAGTATTTATACCTTTAATTCTGAACCTTAATCATACTGAATTACATGTGACTAAATGGTTTCATATGTGTATGCCATAGTTAATGTGAATTCACTTATCTCCCAGACATTTTTCATCACTTTATAAATTTGGCTTACATGCCAGGTACTCAGATATTCATTTCCTTCTAGCTTACACAGAAGGGCAGTAGCACTGCAGTTATGACTTCATGGCTTTGGAAAAATAAAATTCTTTACCAAAGCATGAAGAAAAACCTAACTGATATCTTTTGAATAACATCAGTCAATCATTATGACTTATAATAACTTATAGACAATTTAAGGGGAAACTAAGGAAATTCCAACAAAAGTAAAATTAGATCTTACTAGGCATAAATAGTTGACTGACATTTAATCTATCCCAGATGACTAGACCAAACCAACCATGATTTATTGTATTCTCTTGCCAGCATTTGGCTCCAGGTAGACATGTCACCAATTATGCCAAATTCTTAGAAATACTTCCTCACTCCTAAAAGTGGGCTTCTTTATGTGGATGTTGGGATGTCTGGGTTATGATGCCAAGAATTTCTGCTATCATCTTTCTGTTGTTTGAGGATGAAGCTGCTTACCTGCAGGATGAAGTGTTATCTGCAAAATGACATAAAAAGGAATAGAAGAACCCTGGATTCTTCATGACATTGTTATACAACTACATCTATCAACCCTGCCCTACCTCTGAACTTCCTTGTTACATGACATAATAAATTTCCTTATTGTCTGAGTCTTACGTACAGTGTGAGTAGGTTTTATTAATTATTTACAGACAAAGCATTCTAACTAAATGTTAATGCCACTTGGTAATACTGATTTTCCCCAGATGCTAATAGAACGCTTTCTGTAACCCATCCTGTACTTTCCAAGTCCTTAGAGAATTTTCTGGAAAATACATGTGAATTTAAAAGTTTAAAAAAAAAAATAAAAGTTTAGAAACTCACCCACATACTCAAGCCTCAGTGTATTGTCAGGATTAGTTTTGTCAAAAGCTGCTATTCGCTTCTGTTCAGCCTGGTACTCACTGACTTCCACTGCAGACTGACTAAGTTTCAGAATTTCTTTTTTTTTTTAATTATGCATACAAGAACTGGGGTCTAGGGGCCTCCCCGGTGGCGCAGCAGTTGAGCGCTGGGTTGTGAAGCTGCCCGCAGCCTCTAAAGCGCCCGTTAGATCCCCGGCTGCTCCCCGGCCACCGGAGGAGGGTCCCACATGGCGCACAGACCTCTCCTGCCGCCCGCTGCTCCCCTCAGCAGTGTACTTCGGTCCTTCTGCCTTCTGCCTGCTCTGCTCCCCGCTCTGGCTCTGGTGAATTCTCTCACCCTCCCATGCTTCTGACTGTACCCAGTGCTTGTATAAATAAATCTTAAAAAGAAAAAACTTTAAAAAAAAAAAAAAAAGAACTGGGGTCTAGGCCAGAGGTATGGGAAGGTGAGAGGATTCACCAGAGACAGAATGGGGAGCAGAACAGGCAGATCTACTGAAATACACTGCTGAGGGGAGCAGAGGGCATGAAAGGAGAGGTCTGCTGTGCCATGTAGGTAGCTCCCTGACCAGGATCTAACCCATGCTGCATTGGCTGCCAATAGTTTCATAACACTTAACCCCTTGCACCACCAAGGAGGCCCTTGTTTCAGAATTTCTTTCCTTAAAAGTCCCTGAGTATTGAGCTCTTGTTTGTAGCTGATACCATATCTGTTACTTAAACTCTGCTTACTTTCTGACATCTTTGACTAGACTGCTTAAGTAGGTTTCTGATCACATATTCCTTTTCTTCTTGATTGGATTACTGACAAAAGTTGAATATTACTTTCAAGCTTACCTTCAAGAGCTCTCTTCTTAAGCTCACTTTCCTACCTGAACTCCTGATCCTTGCCTTCCCTGATTTTCTGTACCTTCACTCACTTAAAACATTACCGGTAAAGTGTATTTATAAAGGAAATGAGTACCCCAAAGTACGTTGGCGAACTATTAGCAGGAGTGGCCAAAATAGTGGTTCATAGTTTCTTATGCCTGTTTTTTTTCTTGAGGGAAGAAGAATTTACAAGCTGTTAACTTTGTATGCTCTGCATGAACTGTTGTTAAAAATTCAGATGTGTATTGAATTTAGTTTTTGTTAGTACTAACAATTCCAAAGAGAAACGAGAAAATAACCAGAAAGGTTTATTTCAAGATCAAGTTTTATTAATTAAAATATCATTAGCAATAGTTCAGTATATAAAGTTAATAACTTCTTTAATATAGCCATTTGTCATTTATTGGCACAGCCCATTAACCTGAGTAATCAACTTTGTTTTCCCTTCAGTTCCAGTTTAGTCAGGTTTAGGGGTATGCATAAATTTTTCTCTGGCTTGTGTTTGTAAAAATAACTCATTGCAGACTGCTTTATGTGCATTTTTACATATAAGGAAAAGTTAAAATATATTACAGTCTTTATTCTTATATGTGAAATTTAATTTCCTACCCATCAAAATATTTTCTTTTTAATTAGTTATCAATTATGTTCTCTTGTTCTTGTAATACATTCCTGAATTACTTTCCTACCTGCTATTAAATTCTATAAAACTGTTCATTATGTGTTAAGAAAACATTAGTGTAGATCTAAATCTCCAAAGGCTTTTTAAAAAGGAATTTATCATCAAAATTTAATAAAAATCTTGTGCTTGGACACTACAAAAAAAAAAAAAAAGACCACACAAAGAATGGGAGAAAATATTTTGCCAATCATATATCTGATAAGGAACTTGCAACCAGAATATAGAAAGAGTTCTTAGACTCAGTAATCAAAAGACAAATAATCCAGTTTTTAAAAAGGCCAAGTATGGGTGGAACTGAAGAAGATTATGGTAAGCGAAATAAGTGAGGAGGAGAAAGACATTGGATGATTCCATTTGTGGAATACAGAGAAATGAAACAAATGAACGGACAAAACTAAACCACAGCAAACCCTAGAACTATGTCTGCAGAATTAAGGTTACTAGATGTGAGGGAGGGCGGGTGAGGAGGAAGGAAGCACCTAGTGATCTAGGTAAAGGCCTCTAGGATGCATTCGTGGTGACATACGTCTGAGAAAGTATGAACACATTCTCCTCAATCAAATACAGTGTTGTAAACCAGTGTTGCCTCCATATAAATAAATACATAGGTAAATGCATTGGAAAAAGTGAATAAATAAAAATGGACAAAGATTTCAAATGGACATTTCTCCAAAGAAGTTATACAAATGACCAAAGCCCGTGAAAAGCTTCTCAACATCATTCGTCATACGAAAATGCAAATCAAAACCACAGTGAGGGCCTCCCCGGTGGCGCAGCGGTTGAGCGCTGGGTTGCGAAGCTGCCCGCGGCCTCTGCGGCGCCGGTTCGATCCTCGGCTGCTCCCGGCCACTGGAGGAGGGTCCCACATGGCGTGCAGACCTCTCCTGCCGCCCGCTGCTCCCCTCAGCAGTGTACTTCGGTCCTTCTGCCTGCTCTGCTCCCCGCTCTGGCTCTGGTGAATTCTCTCACCCTCCCGCGCTTCTGACTGTACCCAGTGCATGTATAAACAAAACAAACAAACAAACAAACAAATAAATAAATAAATAAACATGCCTCTATAAAAAAAAAAAAAAAAAAAAACCACAGTGAGATACCTCTTCACTCCTAGTAGGATAGAGGCTTGTAATAAAAAAAGACAGTAACTAGTTTACGTCTATTATAAATTGATGATTTAAAGAAATTGGAACTCTCATATATGGCTCTCCTACTTGGGACTGGAAGTTCCTAGAATAGTTAGACATGGTTATTACATGAGCTAGCAATTCCACTCCTGGGTATACCTAAGAGAATTGAAAATGTGTCCACAGGTATTATTAGCAGAATTATTCATAATAGACAAAAAGTAAAAACAACCCAAATGCCTGCCAACAAATGAATGGATAAACAACATGTGGTACATTCATACAATGAAATATTATTGGGTTATTTTGTGAACCGAATGTTTGTATCTCCTGTAAATTCATATATTGAAACCTTTATCCCCAGTGTGATGATATTAGGAGGTAGGCCCTTTATGTGGTAATTAGGTTTAGATAAGAGTGCAGCCCCGGTGAGGAGATTATTGCACTCAAAAAAAAAAAAAAAAAGAGACGGTGGAAATTTCTTTGCTGTGTGAGGATATGATGAGAAGGTGACCATCTACAAATCAGGAAAAGGGCTCTCACCTAGAACCCTGCAATCAATTGGCTTGGATTTTGCGGCCTCTAGAAGAACTATGATAAATAAATGTCTGTTTTTTTAATCAACTTAGACAAGAGCCTTTTGTTATAGCAGCCCAAGCTGATTAAGATTGTGAAGCGTGAAGTAATGGATACATGCTCTACATGGAGAAACATTGAAAACATTACATTAACTGAAAGAAGTCAGACACAAAAGCCACATATTGTATGATTCTTTTTTATTATTGTATCATTCTTTAGATGAAATTTTCAGAATAAATAAATCCAGGGTTGGAAAATAGGTTAGTGATCACCAGGGACTGGGAGAAGACAGGAATGAGGACTGACTGTTAATGGTTTGAGATTTCTTTCTTGGGTGATAAAAATATTCTAAAATTAGATGGTGGGGATGGAGATAAACTGAGCAAAGACACTAAAAGTTATGTAATTGTAATTTGAAAGGGTGACTTGAATGGTATGTGAACTATATCTCAGTTAAAATAAAATAAGTTCTATCTATGTCGTGTTAGTAACAAAACTTTAATTTCAGAAATAGAATCAGGGTAAGACATATGTAGAAAAATATCAATAGTCAACAATGATGAATCATCCAAATTTACATTTTACTCTCTCAAATTTTTTCCCTATGATTTTATATACACTTTTCCCCTAAGTACTGTTCTCTGCATTGAGATAACAATTATCTTTGAAAATAACCCTCCCTGCAAAAAAAAAAAAAAAAGTCCATCTATTATAGGGCAGCCCCGATACAAAACAGGTTGCCTGACTGTGGGTCCTCACCCGTGCTCTTAAAAGGACTTATCAATGCTCTACTGCAGGCACACAGGAAAGGTTAATAAAAGGTTTATTTACAAGGGAAGGGCAAATGAGGAAATGTATAGCTCAGTTAGAAAAGTGGGAGACAAAGTTTAAAATGTGTCCTACCTGATCCAACGATCTGGAATCCCAAATGGCGCTCTGAGAGCTGGCTGCAAGCCAGGAGCCTTGAAGCCAGGAGGCGAGCTCAGAGCGAGCCCCACCAAGGCCCACGTGTTTGGTTTTTATACCCAACCTGGCTGCTTAACTCCACCCTCAGGTCCCAGCCACCTTCCCTTTGGTGGTGACGGGATTTGTCTTTCCCAATGTCTTGATGGCTTTGGTCTCGTGTGGGGGTGGAGTCCACAAAGCCTGTATGGAATTAGCTCAGGACATCCCTTCCCCTAACACATCTATTGCCACTAACTGGGGGTAGAGTCAAAATTAGCACTCATCTTTATCTGTTCCAGCCAGTGTTTCCAAAGTCAAAAGGATTTCAAAAGGGAGCCAAGTGTCAGTTATCATCTAGATAATGCACTTTCAGCCTTTTTTTAAAAAAATAGGAGTTTTAAAAAGAGAGAAACTGTAGGAGCTATTAGGTTTTTCTTTTAAATTTGTCACCGTTCCTTAGCAAGTGTAGATGAGAATTCCATGAATCATGAATGATGGAAGAAGTACAAATGATTGCTCAACTTTACTGAAAGATTGTGAAAGAACTAGAACTCCTATTACACAGGAATCCTTGAATGAACTAAGGATATTAGGGTGGGAAAAAAGTAAATTTAAGGAGGCATATGATAGCTACCTTCAGGTATCTTAAGCTCCTATAGAAGAGCTACTAGAAACCTAGAATTTAAGGTATTCTGTTTTATAGATC